AATTGTGACAGACAGTTGGTGTGACAGTTGGCGTGGCAGTTGGTAGGATATCAAGTAGTACTTGAGTAAAGTTAACAATTTGTCTCGCTATTTAAAAAAAAAATTATTGCAATTTGTAATAAGTATAACTATATGTGGCTATGGGTAAGAAGGGAATCATTTTTTGAAAACACTAAAAACAAGGTCAGCTCCTGGAATAGGATAAAATATTTACAAGACATGTTTATTATAATTGTTGTTAACAGAAAGAGTTTCCATTATTTGCTTACGCTTTTAGTTGGGTCTTTTAAACTCATAGAAAATTATGACTACTAGTTTTAATATAACTTCTGTAATACCGGTACTAGACAATTGCTCAATTTCGAAACACAGGTGCACTAGTTTTGTTTTATATTTTTAATTTGTTATAAGATGCTGACAATAATACATACACACAGTTATACATGGTTAAATGGTACATACTGAATTCAAAATGATTTTACTTGCTAGTATCGGTGAAAAAAATACCTGCATCAGCTTTGGTAAAAAACTGGAGAAATCGCTACAACTGCTACTTTAACTTCCTTTTTTTTAACTCATTCGGAAGTAGCTTCTTTTTATGGATTATTTTGGTTGATTGGCTTTTTGATACGCTTCATTGCTCTTTTAGTCCAGTCAATGAATGCTCAAAAGGGGGGTGTAGAGGACATGGAGAGGGGGAAATTTTTTTTCTGCGGGAATGTGTTCGGGGTAGTTAGAAGATAAAAATACCTAAAGTCCCCGCCCCTGGCCCTGCTGCTTCAGAGGGGGGAGGGGGGAAAGACCCCATTTTTTAGTTTTTTGCTTCTAGACTGAAAACCGTGCATCGTACGGAAAAAATGTAAATTATAAAAAGAAAGATGATGAAATTCTCTACAAGAATGGTCATATTCATTTCTTCCGTATATGCATTGGTTTAAAAGATATTCTCAAAATAATATAAAAATTCCTTAATAAATTGATTTTTCACGCGTGTTTTGTCAAATAAGTTTATATAATCCATTAGCCTGTTGTTGTTTCACATCAATCAGGATAGAAAACAGGTTTTTGAACACTAACCTATATAATATAATATATCAATCGTATATATTGTGTTAAAAATAGTTTATATAAATTTAAATAAGATATGTATATTTTGTCATGGAAACAAGTAATTTTGGCATAATTATTACACTAAAAATTTAAAAGATTATGTTTGTAGCTATATTTGTCCAGGTTTATTTATAACAATAACCGAAACCAAGACTTAATATTATTGTTCATGGTCTGGCTCACTTGGGACGAGAGGGTCCGACTTCTGTCCCAAAAACTGGTGCCATCTGGAACTGAAAACCACCATCTAGGACATCTCCATCATTCAATTCTTGTTGATTAGACTCAATATTGGCTATCGAAGTGAGAATTCGGTGTAGGCCTGTATATTCTTCATCTTCCTCATTTATCAGAATGGGCATTTCATGTAAAAAGTTCCCTTAGCAGTTCTGGCATAACGGAGAACAATAATTATTGGACATTTTCTTGCATGCACAAATTATACATCTGGCACCGTTGTAATCTTTGGTACATTTGTAAAAACTTGGTTAAGGGATTAACTGTTCCTGGTTACTATAATTTCGGTGATGAATAATAGTATAATATAGTAAACGAATATCTACTGACCAGTGCCGGTACCTTGGGGGGGGGAGGTATATATTCTCTCTGAAATATTTTATAAGCTAACATAAATACTATTAGCTTGAAGATATTTTAGAGCTCATATGCTTATAAAAATACGTTATTGTGCTTTAAATTCAACATTTTTTCCGGGGGGGGGGGGGTTAACCACCGGAGACCCCCCCGGAAATTAATTCCTGGGACCGCCACTGCTACGGTACTGACTATTTCAATCTGTAGCGTCTTTCTTGGTCTCCCATCTTCTGAATTGCTGTTATTGCTGTTTTCTGAATTGCTATATCCGTCAAAAACAACAATGCATTACCTTATAGGTATCCACGTACTTCGCGTATCCATCACATATCGCAGACACTGAAGATCCCCTTTGCCATATAACCTTGTGCGTGAGAAATACCCCATCGATAACCAAATTAAAGGTCGTTAAAAGTGTTGTTGGTTGGTCCCAAAGAACTTGAACGGTGCAGGCATTTTTGGTCTTTACTTACACCACTCTCATTAAATAAAGGGAAATGGAGCAAGTTCAAATCGTTAACAATCCTTTGAAACAGAATTAAAGGTTTTGCTGCAACGTTTTAATCATTGATATCGATGATTGAACTCACAGAGGACAAAGGGAGAGCCATATTTTCCTGTGACAGCTTGTTGTCTGCATATGATTATAATTTGATTAATTACTCGCAGACTACGTAATACAGCATCGTAACAGTTAACGGATTCATCTCCTACAACCCCAGATGCTATTGACATGATATCTTGAGTTTCAGGGAAGAGTGGGTCGATTTTCAAACATTGCTGTCAGTTTATAAATATATGACATTTCATCATTTGTATCATTTAATCAAGGACAATTCTGTTTGGAAAAACAACTACCCTCAGAAATGTGGGATTGGGAGCGCAAAAAAGGTAATCTATTCCCAGTTTTAACCAATGAACCACCTAACCCATGAGAAATGTTGAGATTGTTTTTTGCAAATATACTAAAGATTGTAGTAATGAAAGATGTACATGCAATGAAATTACCATTAAATGTTCCTCGTTGGCTGTTATGCCAGTAAGGGGACCGTTTTAAATGCCAATTCTGATAAATGAGGATGATGAAGAATATATACACTGCACTCTCACATCGATAGCAGATATTGAGTCTAATGAAAAAGAATTGGATTATGGACAGTTTTTGGGACAGAAGTCGGACCATCTCGTCCCAAGTGAGCCAGACCATGAACAATAGTGTTAAGTCTTGGTTTCGGTAATTGTTATAAATAAACCTGGACAAATATAGCTACAAACATAATCTTTTAAATTTTTAGTGTATTAATTATGCCAAAATTACTTGTTTCCATGACAAAATATACATAACTTATTTAAATTTATATAAACTAATATTTTTAACACAATATATACGATTGATATATTATATTATATAGGTTAGTGTTCAAAAACCTGTTTTCTATCCTGATTGATGTGAAACAACAACAAGCTAATGGATTATATAAACTTATTTGACAAAAAACGCGTGAAAAATCAATTTATTTGAGAATTTTTATATTATTTTGAGAATATCTTTTAAACCAATGCATATACGGAAGAAATGAATATGACAATTCTTGTAGAGAATTTCATCATCTTTCTTTTTATAATTTACATTTTTTCCGTACGATGCACGGTTTTCAGTGTAGAAGTAAAAAACTAAAAAATGGGGTCTTTCCCCCCCTCCCCCCGCTGAAGCAGCAGGGTCAGGGGCGGGGACTTTTGGTATTTTTATCTTCTAACTACCCCGAACACATTCCCGAAGAAAAAAAATTTCCCCCTCTCCATGTCCTCTACAACCCCTTTATTGACTGGACTATTTATAATTTCAAGAGATCTATTGTTGAAGCCGTAAATGTGCAAATAACCTAACGGATTATAACCCACCTTACGGGACCCGGACACAGAAAACATACTACTATAACCCAGAATGCCAACCGCATGGTAAAAAGCATTAAGTGTTTTGAGAGAGCTTTGCCTGTCAATCCTAGGCAGCGCCACCAGCGCAGGGGCGGCTCCAGGAATATTTTCTTGGGTAGGCCTGATATATATCATGAAAGAGTGATTGGGAGACGAGAAGTTTGAAGACTTTCCCCGCAAAAAGGAAGGAATTAAAAAATTTACATTCAAAATAATAAGTTTGGATGCTTTCCCTTTATTTTCATATAATAAAATTTCATTACTTATTTATAATTTTTTTAAATCTACCAAAACTTTGGGTAGGCCTGGGCCTACCTGGCCTGCTCTCTGGAGCCGCCCCTGCACCAGCGTTGCTATGCTGAGTGCATGGCAACGCTGGTGGCGCTGCCTACGATTGACAGGCAAAGCTCTCTCAAAACACTTAATGCTTTTTACCATGCGGTTGGCATTCTGGGTATAGTAATATGTTTTCTGTGACCCGGATTAGTGTAGGTAGCAATTGTGCAACTAACCTATACTCGTGTGTCAGTCTGAAATAGGTCAAACCCCTCCAAGCCAGTTCCCACCCCACCCTCCCCAAGCCAGCATTCAGTCAACACAATTACATCTATACTGTGAATAAATAAATTTAAGTAGAATTCATCAAAATTTTTATTATAACTACGTATTTTTTTTTTTAATATAGACAAATACTTCTCCTCACCAGGATTATTGCTGTAAAAATCTGAGAATTGAGTGATCTGTATTATTAATACGCTACATGAAACATTGTGAACAGTAAGGCTTTTTTGTTTTAAGATTTAACCCCACATATTATATACGGTACCAAAATGTTCGTCTTAAGTGTGTAAATTTGCAAACTGACCTTAATTTTTTGAAAAAGACCCTTGGGCTCTGCCCCAGTGGCTTTTATAGTTCCCATGTTATCCTTTTGAAGAACATATTTGTTTACATTATGATCAGCTGGATAATTTTATTGCTGTTAATATTTTAGTTGCTATTTAAGGAGACGTGTGCTACAAAGGCTATTTAACATATTTGTAGATTGAATAGTACCATGATATGTTACATGATATGATATGTGTACATCTATGAAAACAGAACAAAAATTATTCCATAACCATTTATTGTACATTGTACAATTTTAACCGGGCAAAGCCGGGTTTTGCTGCTAGTATTATCTAATTCTAAACAGTTAATATTAAGTGATGAATATTCCGACTCTGCGTCATCACACCGCATCACCACGTCAAATATATTATAAATATATATTGCCTCTCCAAGTTAAGAATACTGTTAGTTCAAATGTGTCAAAGTTCATCTACAGATAATTACGCATTTCTTAACGATTGTGTTTGCAGGCAGCGGAAATAAGTGAGAGAGACAAGCAATTAGCCAGAGAATTATGGCAACTAGTGGAAAAGGACTACGCAGCTGTAGGCAACATTCTGTTCAGAGAGTGAGTATCTGAAAATATCAGAACAAAGATGGAAAACATCTTGAATTTGAGGTTGTTTTATATTTTAATTATCTATTTCACAAAGTCACAACCTCAATTGTGGAGGTTATATGAATGATATCTAAATTAAACTTGAGGGAAAGCAACTTCGTAGGATTCAAAGCAACAATAATGGTGGACTTCTGATTACATTGACAAAACTGCTGCACCAAAAATACAAATCTGCAACTTTTACTCCGCCAACTGAGCCTGGGCCCAGGGGTGCAAGTAGTTTAAGGTTTTTGGTGACACAAGGAAGAAAAGATTTCCTCCAAAAGGCAGGTGGAGGGGTAATTATCTCTCATAGCGCATCACGCAAACTGGGCTTGGTTGAAAACACAGAAAAGTTCACAAGACAATAGACTTGATATTTTGCACCTGCAAGGGTCACTTCTTTCTTTCAAAGAAGCCCCATGTAAAATATCCCTAACAATGAGATTGCAGGGGCAAAATAGTTTATTATGTTGTGAACTTTTTGTGCTTCAACTTCCTGGAGCTCTTATCTCAGATAGGTTAGTTGTGCATCCATCCCTTCTTCCTTGATGTAAATTTCACTGTTTTATTTAATTGCATTTTTGGCTTAAGAACATTTTAGTCTAAAATCTAAATTTTCACTGGTATGGAGTCAGTTACTATTGTATTATTACACAAACAATTATTTTGAAACATTGTTCTGTAAAGAGTCAGTACAAAACTTCTTAAATCAAGTTATGTCATTATTATTATTTCTATTATCATCATCATCATCCATTAAGATCGTAACTGGGCTTGAAAGCTAAAGATAAAGGTAGAATGGAGTGAGATGACACATGTAGCTGTTATTGACTATAGTTCGTTCTCAATATTTAGGCGGTTTGGGGGAAGTGCCCCCACTACTTTTTTGTATTTAATGTATGTTGCATAATCAGCTTTGAGCTATTATTTTAAAGGTAATGGGCAATTGGAGGGGATAGATTTCTTCATCTAAAACCGCCTAATATTGTAAACAAAGTATAATACCCACTGTTTCTTTACTCTTTAGCAGCAATATTTATTAAAAACCCCATGATCACAGCTGGGCCCAGTTTTAAACCATCAAATCTGTTTGAAATCTCAGGATCAAACTGGCAACCTTTTGTTTTATTAGCTCTGATATAACCCCTGAGTTACCGTAGATTGTTCATAAACATATTGAGGACGAGATGTTTAAACTTCCGTAAACATTGATAAAAGTGTTGTAAGCCTCATTTTAAGTGTTAAGAATATTATCTTGTTACAGACTATTCACAGCATACCCCGACTACATAAAATACTTTGAAAAAATGAAAGCCTCTCCAGAGCAAGATATTTTCGAGTCTGCAAGATTTAAGAAACACATGGTCTCAGCTTTGTTTCCATCTATTGCTTTACTGCTGAAGAATCTCGATGATCCTGAAAAGCTTGCGGAACAGTTGAAGGATATAGGAGTGAACCACAAGAAAAGAAATCTTCACAGAGCACAGTTTGAGGTAAATCTATGATGTGTCAATTATTTTAATCATGAGCATTACCAATTCCCTTTATTCAGTGATTTAAATATGCATATTTTGATCAAAATATCACAAACAAGCAAATTACAAGTTTATTTATTCTCCAATAGTTATTTGTGTAACTAGTGGTGAAAGTGGCACTTTGCTGCACACGAGAGCAATGTTTACGAGATCATGTTGGAATGATCTCGAGTGCAGCAAAGGCCTTTTTCACTCGTGTTACACATTATATTTGTCCTACAGTCACTATAAAGCATATAAATAATTAGTCTTTCAAACACTATACAACACGTTTTTAGGTTCAACTGGCAACACAAATGGTGCCCTAGAGAAAGTAGTACCCGCGGTCCGTATCACTCCGCTATTTTTCCTCGGCAAGAAATGTGCTCCGCGTTTTGAGAATATAGTTCCGTATGTTTTTGTAATTTGAAGTGGTTTCCGCGCCTAAAAAAATGCTTTAAAGGTATTTTCTTGTTTATTAAGATCGTAGGAATGTTTTAAAAACGTTTAAAAGAAAAGTCCAGAAAGTTCAGAAATACCGAAACTATAAACATGAAATGACAGGTTAAATCTTAGTTATAATAGTCAATCAGCTGCTCATAGTATTATTATCTTTAAGTGTTGCCAACCTATTTCCAAGCGTACAGGGATTACGTGCATAATAGAACCACGCTGTTTTTTGTTGTTTCGTTGGAATCCTGATGTGCGGCAAAGTATAAACCGTACGGCAAAGTATAAACCGTACGGCAAAGTATAAACCGTACGGCAAAGTATAAATATGCAGCAATTAGCAGCTTTCTGTACTATAAACAGTACAAGGAAGCCAACTTTGTTGGGTGACTGTAGGAAAAAAAAATAACATAAGAATTTAAATTTAATTTTTTTCTGTAGTTGTTTGACGTACAACAATGCTTCAATGTAGTAAACTATCTGAATGTTTAAGCTCTATAAAAAATCCCGTTTTCATAGTCCGATCATGCTGGTTCACCAACTTGTTTCGATAAATGTAGGTTTACATGTTTGTCCCATATTTCTTCAAAAAGGATGATTATACTCTTGAGTTTTACTCACATAGATAGTTTAATTAGAGGTTATGCTCGTACTGTATCCAATCCAATATGACTAATTAAGACCATTGTGTTTCAGGCTCTTCACAAAATAATAATCGACACGTTCAAGAAAACGTTGCCCGAACAGTTCACATCAGAAGTAGAATCAGCTTGGAACAAGATCTTAGGTGTCGCGTTTGATAAGATCTCTTCTCACTTGGATAACCAATGTTAAAAACTTTTGAAACTCTGTGTTTGAACGTTTCTATGTCATAAGAAAGAAAGTGTTCTTTGCTTGTGGAACCATGAAATTATTAATTATAAAATTATTTATAGGTTTAAGTATTTTATTTTTGTATCAGAAATTTATATTATGACAACTTGTGAGTTTATAAATGTACAAATGTGTTTTGTATACAATAGGTATTAATTTATCTTATTGTTTATGTAGAGGTCCAATTCAGCCAGACAACAGATTAATTATTCAATTGTGAAAAAAATGAATATTTTAAAATCGTTCTCCCTCACAATACATAATGTGAACCATGTGTTTACAATAATTATTTTCTTTTGGGGATTATACAGTTAGCTTTTAGTAGTTTTATCAGGATGTAATGAAAAATCCATTTTGAAAATTCTGTTATCAATTATATTCAAGCATCTAGTATTCAGACTTTAACTTATTGTTAGTAAGAAATTTACATTATGAAAATATTATTAAAAGCAACCAAACACCTCAGCCAATCTGTACTGTAATTATTATAAGTTATTAAAGTTTTTAATATTTTAATGTTTCAAATTGTGTGTTTATTTACCAATTTTTTTTAACCGTTCTTTAAAAACTTAAAGGCCACTTTTTAAGAGATAAGTAATAACGATGATGATGATCTGTCAGTAAAATTAAAGATTAACCGTCAAGATTTCCTATTCCGTTATGAAATGAAAAACATATAAAACAGTTACGATTGGTGAGATATTTTATACTACAATATTCCTTTGTTTTTCAAAAATACAGATAACCATTTTGCTGCACAGATTAAAATCTAAAGAATTAGACAAGGATTATACATGATTTAACCCAACAGCTTGACTACAAATTATTTATTTTAAAGCGACAATTAAAAGCATTCAATTATATAAAGTACATAGATAAAATTCACTTGATATCATATAACGCCATAAAACATTTCCCAAAATGTATTTAATTTTCTTAACCATGCAATGCCTGCTGGAATAAACATATTAGCACAATAACTGGTATATGGTATATGACAATATAATTGTTGCGACTTAGTCAAAACTAATGAGTTCAGCCGTTTGTTGCTCTTGTGGTTGGGGAATTTGTGACTGAGGTTGTGAAATTTGAGGTTGAGGCTGTTGATGTTGGTAGCCCTGAGATGGGGCACCAGGGAGCATTGGAGGTCCTGACTGTGGAACCATTTGAGGGATTTGGTTGGGAGGCATGCCAGGCCCTTGATTTGGCAGTCCCATATTACCTATTTGCGGGGGAATTCCTTGAGGCTGAGAGGGAATTTGTCCCTGTTGAGGGGGTATTTGACCTTGATGAGGCATTTGACCTTGAGGAGGTATTTGACCTTGATTAGGCATTTGACCTTGCTGAGGATGAATCTGTCCCTGCTGTTGAGGGAGTTGTCCCTGTTGTTGGGGAATTTGTCCCTGCTGTTGGGGGATTTGTCCCTGCTGTTGGGGAAATTGTCCCTGCTGTGGGATTTGCCCACCTTGCTGAGGATGAGGTGGTATCTGACCTTGTAGATGGACCGGAGACGATCCCATGTGAGTAGGCAGAGAAGCAGGGCCCATTGACGGGGGTCCCATCATCTGAGGGCCCACCATACCATGTGGGGGGCCCATGTACCCCGGCATCATCATTCCCGGCATACCTGTCGAAAACACAACTTGTTAATGGAAAAATACATTCTAAAAAATTACAACCATTTGTTACGAGAAAATTTCTATATAGTCTTAATATCCTAAAACATTTTAAATACGAGGCATGCTTTTTAAGTAAGTACCATTTTTAAATTACTCCGTTGCAGCGCTGCGATTGACATTTTGGACATTTGCGCTGTGGATGTGCATCTATTGGCGAGCCTCCGCCGTAAATTCGGCAACAATTGGCTGTGTTTACATCCGGTTTCAAACATTCAAAATGGTGCTGCCAATTGAGACTGCCGCCGACTGTGAAGTGCGTGCTGTAATTAGAAGTGTTACAGGTGTGAAAGCTATTGAAATTCATCGACAGATTCGTGAAGTGTATGGCGAGAACATTATGAGTGACGTGATGGTAGGAAAGTGGGTAAGGGCATTTAAAGACGGCCGCACCAATGTTCATGATGAGCAACGCATGCACTGGGTGGCCATCTGTCATCACTGATGAATTGGTGAGTAAAGTCGATGAAAAAGTGAGAGAGAACAGATGGTTTACGATCTCATCATTATTTGATGAGTTTCCTTTACTCATTATGTTCTCGCCATAGACTTCACTAATCTGTCAATGAATTCCAATGGCTTTCTCACTTTCAGCACTTAAAAATCTAATTACGTCGCGCACTTCACAGTCGGTGGCAGGCTCGATTGGCGGCACCATTTTCAATGCTCTAAACTGGATGTAAACACAGCCGATTGTTGCCGAATTTCCGGCGCAGGCTTGCCAATAGATGCACATACACAGCCCAAATGTCCAAAATGTCAATCACAGCGCTGGAACGGAGAAATTTAAAACACTTTTAACACTTAATTAAAGTATTTTACCTTAGAAATTTATTTGATAAGTGTTTAACATTTATCACATAATTGATTAATTTTATGTCAAGCACATTTTCCAGTTCTTTAAATACTTAAAAAAAGGCCACCTTTGGACAATTAATCTTAGAGAACAAAACAAAAATGATAGTAAAGAAAGTAAATGCATTCAAACAAAATCGCACAAGTAGTAAAAGCTAAAAGTAGTTTAAGGTATGTTTTATACGGCATATGAACATTAGGTAAGTAGCACAAAGCCTACTAGGCAAAAACTTGAAGAAACACAAAAAAATATGGATATAACAGAAATAAAACAGCAAAAAGAAGACAGAGCTTTTGAAAGTGAATGATTTCAATGAATAGTACCGGTACCAGTAGTACCTGGGGACCGAGCTTTGGCTAGGTAGTTTATTTCCATTGTACCCCTATATCGAGTAATTTGTAGTGTAATCTTTTCTCAATCGTGACAACTGATGTTTTTCTTCCTTTGTATTGTATTTTGTAATCTAGTATACTGTGGATGGCTTGTTAAAAACACATGTTACAAGTCTTTCCTTCACTTTTTCCTTGTTCTTTTGTTCAACCAACATAATATTAATTTACTATTAAATCCTAATTCACTTCCGGCCAATATTAAAAAATGTTGACTTTATTTTTACATAACTTAATTAGATTTTAGTTGACTGCTTTAACTGCATTAAACATGTTTTTAGGCCAGAAATAATTTATTTACAGCATTTGAAGGTAATCGAAGCTGTTTTCGAGATCTTTTTGCAAGCAAGCATACATACAAGCAAATATTGTTCACATAAGAGTATAGGATAAATTGTAATGTTGGAAATGAAAGATCTATCGATTCACAATCTTTGGGAAATTACTGCATCTTTGAACAGGTGAAAACACTGACAAACAGTTTGGATGTGAAGCAACTATCCATATTGGAGACAAAGTACAATTAGACATGTTGCAGCTTACTCTGGTATTGCTGCAATGCATCCATAACATCGGCCACTACTTTCACCAGTTCAAAGAAGCAGTTATCTGTTGCAGACAGCCTACTTTAGCCCTGAGAGCCCTCTAAGATAGATATAGTCTAAGCTATATTTCCTATGATAGTTTAGTAAAAGTGTGTTTACCTTGAGCTGGGGCAGGAGTGTAGTGAGGGTGAGAGTAGCCAGCAGGTACAGGACCTCCCATCACATAACCTCCGGGAGGAAGACTTTCGTAACCTCCTGGAACATAAGGATCAGCTCAGTAACTAGTACTGTGTTATTTATAGTTCTGATTTAAACTTAATTCAATTATATATGATAATCTACTTACCTGTGTCAGTAGGTGTCAATTGTAGTTATCTTTTATGCTTCTGGCATACGTAAGTAGATTTTCATAAATCTTTAGGGGTTGTTTGACTGTACATAAAGAGAACTTAGTTGAATAAACCGCTCGCAGAGTATTCTCCAGTAAAAAAATTAGTCCTATTACTTCTCGGTTCTTGATAATTTAATCATTTATATGGATTATACGACATATTGTTCCTTTTCAGTTTAGCTTTGTTAAAAAGGTGTATACCTGGTGGCATGTAGCCCAGCCCTGCGTACTGGGACGACATGAGATATTGTTGTTTCTGCTGCTCCTGTCTCAGCTGCATCTCCCGCTCCTGCTCCTGGATACGCTGGAGAGTGAGTTGTCGTTGGTACTGCAACAACAAACACAAGTCAGAGTGATGCTAAGTAAGGTGGAGAGTGAGTTGTTGTTGGTACTGCAACAACAAACACAAGTCAGAGTGATGCTTAGTAAGGTGGAGAGTGAGTTGTTGTTGGTACTGCAACAACAAACACAAGTCAGAGTGATGCTAAGTAAGGTGGAGAGTGAGTTGTCATTGGTACTGCAACAACAAACACAAGTCAGACTGATGCTTAGTAAGGTGGAGAGTGAGTTGTTGTTGGTACTGCAACAACAAACACAAGTCAGAGTGATGCAAAGTAAGGTGGAGAGTGAGTTGTCATTGGTACTGCAACAACAAACACAAGTCAGACTGATGCTTAGTAAGGTGGAGAGTGAGTTGTTGTTGGTACTGCAACAACAAACACAAGTCAGAGTGATGCTAAGTAAGGTGGAGAGTGAGTTTTTGTTGGTACTGCAACAACAAACACAAGTCAGACTGATGCTTAGTAAGGTGGAGAGTGAGTTGTTGTTGGTACTGCAACAACAAACACAAGTCAGAGTGATGCTAAGTTAGGTGGAGAGTGAGTTGTTGTTGGTACTGCAACAACAAACACAAGTCAGAGCGATGCTAAATAAGGCTGATTGTTTTTCAAAATGTATTTAAAATTTGTCCTACAGGACATTTAGGGTTGGTAAATATATATATAACCCAGAGGTTGGCCAAGAAATACGTTCCTGAACGGCTACTATTTGAATGAGGTTAACCTTTTCTATCCCACGGGGGCATCTACACGTCTGAGCGCTAGCCCTGCGACCAGCCTACACGTGCGCGTATGAGTGTTGTTTGAATTTGTTGCGCTAACATACCGATTGAAGAAGAATATATAACTTGTTTAGTATTGGCTTGTTTGGGGAAGCCTGTTCTTGCAGTTGGTATAACTCCCAAAAACATTTCTGCATTTACACTCAGCTTAAAATTTTTTTTTTTTTATTAGGTGAGACTTTGCTTTTAAAACTATGTAAAAGATTATGATTATCTAGGTTTACTGTTTATTTTAAAAATACAATTTTCATAAAACCCATGTTTGATACCTACTATTTTTAGATTCTCATTTTTTTCTGAACATAAAAGTACAGATATTAGTATGTTCACTATTACACCTTGGTACTTTACAAAATTCTTTTTTGAATAGTCTGATACTCCACAAATATTGGGGCTCGACTTTGACCTTGCAAATGCCTGAAGTCATAAGGTTAAGACCCTGTACACATGAGAGCGTTGCAGCGCGCATTACGTGTCGCGCGTTGCGTCCTAGAAACACAGCAATCAAAGTGCGTACACATGCAGCGCCAGCGCTTTGGCCA